CTTCCTTCCTTCCTTCCTTCCTTCTTTCCTTCCTTCCTTTCCTTCTTCCTTTCTTTCCTTCTTTCTTTCTTTCTCTCTTTTTTCTCTCTCTCTTTCTATCCATCAATTCCCCTGCCATTCCACTTATCTATCCATCATCTATCAATATATCTGTCCCATCAACAATCTGTACAATCTGTCCATATTGTCATCTTCTAGCTAAAAATCCATCTCCTACTACTTATTAATCCATCCATCTACCCGTTCACCTCTGTATCCACCCACAGAGAGACATATAGATTAGTTAGTAAAGGACACTCTCCTAAATGATGGAACGAATGATCTCATATATATGAATGTTTTAAGATGATAAAAACATGAAAGAAGAATTTTTACAATTTAAGGAAGTTTCTTAAGCTAATTATGTCAGCAATTGATTTTCTCATTCCAATAAGTAAGCTGTTTCATGTGAGTGTGTGTGTGTGTGTGTGTGTGTGTGTGTGTGTGTGTGTGTGTATTAAAAAACTTTCTGGTACCTCAGTTCATGAACTTAATTTGTTGTATGATGTTGGAAAAGATGGCTACATTTGTGTTAGTCACTTGATGTAGTTTGTAAACAAAAACAAAATTTTGCCAAATACTTCTGTTTGTGAACCAAATTGTTTGCAAACAAATTATTTCTCAAATCTAGGTACCACCATATATGTGTAATTTTGCTTTTACTGATGTTGGGTTCTACCTTACTATATCTTGAGCATTTATTCATTAAAATCAATTATGACAGTCACAATTTCTTAGAAATTTTATAAATAAAATTTAACACTAATATTTAAAATCACTTTGGAAAGCTGAGATAAATGTTGAATATGTATAATTATCAACATACTAGATAAAGCGGTTTTGTTTAAAATTTTTCCCTGTTTCAACTATAAGGTGAACAATCATATTTAAGATTTTCTTAATGAAAATAGATTTCTACATTTCTTATCAGCTTTGCTTTACACAAGAACCTTCTTGGATCTTTCTTCTGCTTTCTCAACTTGATTATGGCAAATATAATGCCTATTGTTTTGCTCACATTTCTTTCAAAACCCACCATCCTATGGATAGGCATGGCAATTATTACAAAATAGTGACCCTAAATCTATGGAGCTGCCTTACATGTTAGTGAAATGCTCTATACAGCAAGCTTTGATTTCACTGAATAAATACTTGACTCACTGTTTTGATTCTTTGGTTTGTAACTTTATATACAGATATAACTTTGCTTTGCATACAAATATTCCATCTTTCATACAATAATGGACCACAAAAACAATCATCTTCAAAGAAAACTTATATCACCTACCAAGAAGCAAAAATCCCCCAAATCAATTTAAATTATGGTAAACAGTTGGGAAAACTGAATTTTTAAAATATAAACAAGACTTAGATTTTTACCCAAGGAATAAAAAACTGTTCTAACAGTTTATGAGAGATTTGAAATGATTTCCAGAGAAAAATAAAGATAAATATAGTAGTCAAAGAAATGAAAACTAAATAAATTTCCATTAAAATTAGATTTTTAAGATTAGAATCAAAATAATTAAAAGGTTGAGTCCAAGACATTTTTCATCATATATCCAGCTATATTTCTTACAAGTAGTTTATTATGTCACTGATAAGAATAAAAGTTAGACAATAAGGGTATTTTCTTTTAAAATAAGAAAATAAAATATCTGTAGTGTGGCAGGGTGTTAGGTCAGCTCCCTTAAATGGAAGGGATTTTGATACTCAGGACATTAGGGCAGCCACCCTAATGTCCTGAGTATAAAAGCTTTTTGTGAGTTTATCTCATCCATTTCCTGACATCCTCGATGAGATATTTTCTCAAGTAGACATAATTTTGATGGTAAAATAAAAATTTTAATAATTGAGATTTTGATAAGATAACAGATGATCAAAAAGGTAAAAATCAAATTTACACACAGTAGTTCAAATTTGCATACATATAGGAACATTCGTGTAATGCATCCAGTTGAAAATCACATGTGGTCTTAATATCTTCCATTATAAAAGTATCAAACAGATCCTTGAAAACTCTTCAATGCACAATGAAGAATAGTGTTCAGTGATGAAGACACTCAGGTTACAAGAGCGCTATCAACGTAGGAACTGTAATACTGCTCTGTGTCTTCATGAAGAATGTGTTGCTATCAACAACCATCTATGAACTTATTTGCTAAGTTTCTAAGAGCAGAATGTCAAATACTTCATGTAAGTGATGTTAGGAGGAAATTTATAAATGTCATCATTTGATTTACATAGTTAAATTTAATGACTGAACATATTAGTTTTAATTAATATTTTAATGGCTTCGTACATTATATAACAATATTCTCCTGAATGCACAATAATTTTTGTAAATAATACTTATTTTAGGGCACTGTCCATACTGTTTGAGTTCAGAGTCCACATTATCTTTGTTATCAAGTTTCATGTTTAGGGCCATCTTAGAGGTTTGGATGATGTTCTCAATTCAAGCTAATGAATTTAAATAGAGTTTTAAACTGCAATAAGAAATTTTATTTGGGAGAACACAATACTACTTCAATGACTGTAGGAAAATATCTGCAGTAGTTGATTTTACATTTTATATCTAAATTCAGTTTTGGTTAGAGTTCTTGGGTAATATATCAAGATTTTATGACACGATCTGACTCCTGTGACTCGATGGACAATCTTTTCTCAGTGAGTAGGAGGCAATCTGAGTCAGCAAAAGGAGACTGCTCTAATGCTAGAACAGCTGAGGATAATTCTGCGGCCACCCCTTCGGCTCTGTGGACACACTGTGTATCTGAGTAGATATATATCGTACAGCTCATTCTCACTCCTGGGTAAGATCTCACTCTGCCTCATGGTCTGTGTGGAAGTCAGAGCTGTCTGGACTCCCTTGGAAACCAGAACTATTGATAAAGTAGTGTGTTCCTTGTGCCAGATGCACCCTCAGCTCTTATGTTTAGACTACGGTTTACTCTTTTCTCCAGATAGTTTGCTTTTTTTGTACCATAAAATCTTTACACTAATTGAGAAATATTTTTAATCTATAGATATTACATATTGGTTTTGTGGACAAAAGACTTTTGTATTTTAATTGTATTTTCTTCTTTCAAAATGCAGGCTTGTATGTACTTGTAAATATCAGACTACATTACAATAGCATTATTGAAAAAGTACATTTTAAGAAGCTCTTTCATAGTACATTTAAAACTATATTTAACTTAATTTATAACCCTATTTACATGTCTGGCTATTTTTCTAATTGGTCTTTCTGAATGCCAATCTTTTCTATATGCCATTAGTCAGCCACTAAAACCAACAATATCCAAGGAAAATTTGATAGAATTATTCTCAATTATTTTGAAAATTACTCAAAATCAGCAGTTTCTACAAGATCAACCAGAGGAAATCCAGAGAAATATAGCCATGAAGAATCAAATTGGACAGGAAGGGGAGAAACTGGCAGGGTTTCTAGAAAGGAGAAGCCTCAGTGACATTCTCAGCTCCTCTCTCGTATGTGGACAAGAGCACTCTCCACAGACCGCTGGAGTGGATGGCTTCACAGACTCAGTGATGAGTTAGGGAACAAGGAAGTCACCTGAATCAGCGTTTATGTGAAGCAGTACAGTACGTAGGTATAACCTGATTCCAAAGCTAACAACACCCGTTAATCATCAATTAGTCGGTTACTTTCCAAAGATGGAATTATTCTTCAACAGTAATTGACTGAAGGTTCACTGACCCCTCCCAGCTACTTATGCTAGCATGTATGTAAATGTCACAGCCTCAAAGCCATGGATCACACTACACAGTGTGTAGTTCTTAGCATCACTCCACGCACAACTTCAAAGGAAAGGGAAGGTGAGCTTATATGTGTGCAACAAGAACGCTATTTGTATATTTTCTGATAATTGCACTGCTATTAAGTTCAGATAAAGCACACACAGATTTTTAAATTTTCATAAAGAATATTTTGTCCGATGCACTGAGTTGCACAAAGGACCCACACAGACTTGACTCAGAGGAAATAGATAACCAAGCTAAAGGACGCATGCTTTGTGCAGACTGGCCTGCAGCGCCACCTGTATCTTTAAATTCATGGCCTCTAAAATCTGTGTTAAAATGATAGCTCTTACATTAGTGAAAGAAAATTTGAAATCTCTATGCAAAACCAGACTAAAGTAGACATGCTTCAGCCTTTCACTTAAAGTACTAGGAGTTCAATTTTTCAAATCTAATGCTTGAAATAATCATTTCTTCTATGAAAGTCCAATCACTATGTTTGTAAATTTCACCCAATAAGGCTAAAACACAGCAGCACGATGCAAAGACACTTAAGCATATTATCTGAAGCCAAGAAAAAACAAATAAGACAAAAATCTTCTCACGTTGCAAGGGTCAAACAACAGTAAAACCAAATTACTTTTCTCAATTAAAAGTCTCACCTTTGACAAGAAAACCTCATTTCATAAAACTGGCTTTCTTCAATCCTGATCAGAAGTGGCATTGTCCAGCAGAGTTCTATAAAACTCTTCTACAATGGAAATGAACTCTTCATTACCCAGCGGCGCAACTAATGTGCTGTTCAACCAGTTTCCACTACGTGTCAAGAAAAAGAACCTAATCAAGAAAATTCCTACCAACCAAGGAAAAGTTCTTCATGGGTTTTACTAGAAGGATGGCGGTTACAGCGAGAGAGGCAAAGGCACAAGGTCTGCGGCAGAGCGCGCACGAAGCAGCAGATTCGTTTTCAAGGACGTCATTATTGCACCTGGTGCCTCAGGTCACTGAGGCTGGGCTCACCGCGCGCTTTCTCTCCTACCTTCGTACAGTGCCTTGAAGCCCTGGGCGCTCACTGCGAAGTCCGTGGTGAACCACAGCGTGAGGATGGATCCTGTGCTCACCATAGAGGAGGGGAGCTGAAATCCCGACAACCTGAGGAGGAAAAAGACAGGGCATTGCTGAAAAGGTTTCAGTTAAAGCAGAGAACACGGAAGCTAAAAACACAAAGCTGCGAGGGAAGCTTGCTTGACAGAGTTGCTCAACGCCCCTTCAGTGTAAACATTTATCTAATGGGGCCGTGAAACAATTAGAGAGTCCATACCTGGAGCTTTGCTAAGGATGGAAACGAAGCAAAATCAAGCGTGCTAATGTGTTTATTTAAATAACTGAGCAAATCCTCCCGTGAAGGAGTCATATCCCATCACCTTCGCAGAAGATGCAGAGGAGATACAGCAGAGCACAGTCCGCCTCATACACCGAGCAGGAACCGATGTGATTTTTCATGTGATTTCACTTCACTATTTCTCTCCTAAATTATTCAGTAGTGGTTGTCACACCTCATATTTAACCTGTGTATTCTTATATTTCCCCAGAACACATTGTGATTTTTCTGAGCAGATATGTACTTATTACTGTGTAAAAGTAAAAATCAGTTACCCTCAAGGGGAGGTCACAGGAATGGATTTTTATGTCTATTTCTCAAGGAAATTTTTTCTATTCTAAGAGATCTATTTCACATATCACTATGCTTGGATATATTTAACAGTGTTGAGCATATAATAAAGGCAGAATTCTGGGTGCATGGACCAGCACAATGATGGGCATAACGCTTTGAAACCTAAGAGCTTTTCCAAAGGTCAAAAGAGATTGCATGTATCATTTTATCCAACATTTTGTAATTAAATGTGTTGGTCTACAGATATGTGCTTTAGGGTAGCCTAAAGACAGAGCTACGTTGCGGCACCAATCAACACGATATCTGTTTCTGCGGGAGAGAGTTTGGCCTGCCAGACGTTCTGCAGTCGTAAATATCTCTTAACACCTGCTGTAGGTTCTGGTCTCAAAGCTCTGGACTTTGAATCAACATGACGAATCATGAATCAACATGATGTATTATGCACAAACCCCAAAACAACATGGCATGAACAAAAGGCAGAACTACCAGGTTCAGAATAAAAACAAGATCATGTTTAATTAGTGAAATAATTGTGCAAATCTTACAGTTAGGCGGTGTTGGTTTGTTTTTCAGTATATTCATTTATCTCTCAACTTTTCTTTTATTTCAGTTTTATTGTCTTTAATTCACTAATCCCCTGTTGCAGATGGCTGTAACCCACAGACATGATTTGCTGTAAATGAAATCTAAAGTCCTTGTCTTGAGTAAAATGTAAGTAAAGAGCAGAGAGGGTTATATGTACTCACGTCAGTGTTTATGAGAAAACAAGGACATGGTACAAAATCATCTAGTTGGCAAACTGTATTCACCCTAAGAGGGTGGTGTCTCTGCAAGGGGCTGGGCCAGACTTGGGGATGGGCAGATGCCAGCCTGCCAGGTTCCTTGCAGTAGGATGCCAGCTGTTCAATAGTCCTTAAACCTGTGGTCCTGAGACCATAGGAGGTCTCTCAAAACTGGGATCCTGATGGGACCCCCCTTCTTCTACCAGCTTCCCTTTCCATCTCTGAAAACTCCCATGTCCTGAGCTCCTGAGCTCGGTGTGTCCTGCCCCACCCTCTCCGGCTTCCTTCCCTCCAGTCTTTCCCTTCCCCCTGTCTTCCCTTGGGGGACATTCACAGCTCTGTGAGCACTCTCACCTACTCCCAGAGTGCCCGCAACCTCATGAGCTGCAACAGCTGCTCTCTCCTCTTACTTTCATCTGATCTACAGAACTTCACTGACTGGGGTGAAGAAGAAACCAACAGCTATCTCCGATGTCCCCTGCAAACTCTTTGCCCTGCGGCTCATATGTCACCTAGTGCTATGCAGACAGCAGTGAGGTGGCACAGACTTCGCCTCCAGAAGAAAAAGTGAACAACACTGATTTGGGCCTCTCCTGTGGCTGAAAACCAACAGGGATACAGGACTCAGTAACACCATCAAGCAACAGGATTGAATCACCCTTCGTGGAGCACTTGACTCAACAGGAGTGGAATGCACATTTCCGTCTTGTTCCCACAGCACATACACCGAGGTACACCACATTCTAAGCTATAAAACACGTCTCAAGAAATTGAAAAGGAGTTTGTACAAAATGTGCTGATTGCAATGCCATCAAATTAGAAATATACAACAGAAGGAGGTTGACAGGAAGATCCCTAGTCATTTGATAAGTAGACAGCACACCTCTAAAGAGTGCATGAATCAAAGGGAAGTTTCGAGGGAAATAAAAATGCACATTGAACTAAATGAAAATATGAGTGCAGCATACTAAAATTTGTCATACTCAGTTAAGGCATGCTAAGAGGGTAATTAATGACACTAAAAATTATATTAGATAATAGGAAAACTCACAATAGTCACCTAAGACTCCATGTCAAAAGCCAAAAAAAAAAAAAAAAAAAAAAAAGAAAAGCAAAATAAGTGAACACAGACCTAAGCAAAAAATATGAAAAGGCAAGGGCAAAAATCCTAAGTTTTGAATTTAAAACAATAGAGACAGTGAAACAAAGAGCTCATTCTTCAAAAATGTTCCTAACATGGGCAAACACGTATCCAGCAAAACTGACAAAAAAATCAACCAATAGTGGGGGGAGGAGGCAGGATGGAAGTGACTGCAGACAGGAGAGTCACCACGGATAAAGGTGCCACAAGACTGACTTCCAAATGCTCGATGACCAGCGTGAGTGGCCACTTCCTCAGAAACACAGCCTACCCCAGGTGAAGTGGGCAGTGTAGACCATCCTATTCTATAGCTAGTATAGTGTCCTGAAAATAAACTCCCAGATGAAATGTTCTTATCTGAGAATTCTGCCAAGGTATTAGAGACTCACAGACATTCCACACAATAGAAGTACATGGATAGGACCTGTCTCTATTTATTTTATGCCATTAGTAAAAGTCTGTGCTCTGGAATGGGCTGTGTGCCCTCCCTCAAAAGTTCAACTGCCAGAGGACTGTGCAGCAGAGAGAGAGAAGGCCGCAGTCTACACTGTGACAAGGGCTCTCCCAGGCCTGACCAGGGGGCAGCAGCCAGGCTCAGACCTCAGGCTCTGGACGGTGAGAAGGACCAGGTCCAAGCCACACAGTCTGTGACAGCGTAAATGGCAGCCTGCAAAGTATAAGGACTCCTGGTGCCAAAAGTCAGCAACAGAAAAAGAAATGGATGAAAACATGTCCCTTATTAATACAGATGCACAGGTCATTTTAAAAAACAAAGAATAGAATTATGCAATCTATAACAAGAACCACACACCATGATCAAATATTAAGATAACTTGGTATTCCAAAAATCAGAGTAATGTGTCTTACTAAGAGCCTAAAACTAAAAATTAAAACATCATAGTAATTAATGTGTGTAGAAAAAACTTATTTCATTTAATTAAATACCTAACAGTGAGAAAAATTCTCAGGAAAATATGAATTGAGGTGAATTTTCCCCACTTGACTAACAATATCTATCAATAATCTACAGATATTACATTCAGTGATCAAAGACTGAATTCTGCCTTTCAAGACTGGGCAAAATGTAAGGGTTTCTGTTTTTACTACACTTACTCAACATGATGTAAAAGATATTGCCAGAGTAAGACAAGAAAAGGAGACACATGTGAACAGGCCACAAAGGGAGAAATAAAATTATTGAAGCTAACATGATTGTCCACATAAAAATTACTAAGGTGTTCTGACCAATCCCTGCAATTCCAGCACACAGGAGACAGAGGCAGGGGGATCCCTGTGAGTTCAAGACCATCCTGAACTACACAGTGAGAACTTCCCCAAAAAATTGCTCAGGAATCTGCAAGGACACTCACGGAGCCAGTACTTAAGATCAAAAGGACACACAATAACATATACAATCAATTTTATTTCAACATACTAGCCATGTATAGGTAGACACTGAAGTTGAAAATACAGCATCATTTATGACCACATGGAAAATAGAAAATGTTTAGATGCAAAACCAAGAAAACATATACAAGAATTTACACTGAAAACTGTGCAACACTGAAGCAGACAGAAGACTTGATAAATGTATAGCATGTGTAAATGCACATACCCCGGTATCATGATGAACCATGATAATGAACGGAAGGCTCAGTAAGGTAAAGATGGCAATTCTCCCCAAAGTGAGATATAAACAACACAATTCTATCAAAATTCAAATGATATTTTCTGTAAATAGGTGTAATATACCTGTAAAATTAATATGACAAGCCAGTAAATAAATAAAATAGAATGTCTCCACCAATTTTGAAAAAAAAATATGAGGGATTAGTCCACCAGGTTTCAGAACTTATTTTATAGCTACAATAATGAAGACTACCAATACTGAAGACTATCTGGCAAGGGGATAACCCCAAATACCAATGAGTCAAAGCACAAAACCCAGAAATAGACCTACACAAATACTCTCTACTTATACCTGACAAAGTGTGACAGCAATGAAATGGAAGACTCCAACACACTGTGCTGGAACAGTTATATCTCCTAAGTCAAAAACAGACAAGCAAATCAGCAAGTAAATGAAAGCCTAGACCTAAGTCTAACTTCTTGTGTAATAACTGACTCAATGTGGGTTACACAGATAAATGTAAAGGGTTAAAATATAAGATTTTAAAACCAATAAAAAAAAACTTTCAGGTTCTAGAGCTAGGTAAACAAGTCCTAGGCTGAACACCACAATTATAATCAAGAAGGGAAATATTAATATACTGTGTATCATAAAAATTATGATATTTCTTTGCAAGAGACCTTGCTAAAAGAATGAAAAGATTCACAACAGACTGGGAGCAAAATCTTTCCAAGCCATGTATATGAAAAAGGTCCAGGATCCAGAATATATAATAAATATATAATAAACTCTGAAGAGTCAACAGTAAAAGCACAAACAGGACACAAGTAGAAAATAGGCAAAAGACATAAAGAATCACATCACCTAAAGGACTCAGGGATGGCAATGGAGCACATGATCAACATTATCAGTCACTAGGGAGAT